CTTGGTTTGGGGGGCAAAGTCCCTGCCGAACTGACCAGGCCCCAGAGCAGCCCCTGGCCACACCGTTCCCCCATCTCTCAGAAATACCAATTTCTTTGATTATTTTTTTTTTCCTCAAGAACTGATTTTTTTGGGGGGGGCGGGGGAGGGACCCCAGCAGACCCATAGCCAGCCAGGGCACCTGCCACCACATCCCCAACCCCATTCCTCCCCTGCCCCATGGATTTAGGTGCACCCTCATGCTGCAGTGGGGTGCAGACCAGCCTTAAAGAGAGGTGAGAAGAGCTATGGGTGGGAAAGGCTGAGGGGTGAGGGGGGAAAAGAGCCACCTGGGAAAGGTCTAACAGAGGCAGTGGTGGGCAGCCAGCATCTTCTGGCTCCCAAGATGACCGCTGCTGGAGGACAAAGGGGAGAGCTGCAGATGAGGATGCTGGTTCTCCCAACGTCACGGGAAGCCATGGCAGACGATGGCTGGTATGCTCGTACCATGGCCAGGAAAGGCCTGGTAGGCTGGGACGGTGGAGGAATGTCACTTTATATATTAAAGGGAGCACAAGATCAACTGGGTTAGCAAGCTGAGGTTGTCAGCAGCTCAGATAAAATCTCTCTGGAGTGACGTGCCAGTCCCCATGCAGTGTTTTCTTATTCAGCCTGGGGTTGTCTGCTGCTGGACCACGATGGGAACAGACCCTGGGAGGCATCAGGGGGGCTCTGAGGACAGGGGAAAAAACAATGATGTTAACTCACCCCATGTAGGCAGCATCCTTGATAGCTTTGTGGAGACAGAGAGCCTGCTCAGGGGAAAACACAAAAAATGCAGAAACTTCTTTAAAGAAGCTGAAAGCTTTGCAGGTGATGGGGAGGCATCGGCCAGCCAAGGCTGGGCGCCGGGGGAAAATGGGAAGGTTCGCCACCTCTAGCAGCTTCAACGCAAAAAAATGAAAGGAAACAAGGAATAATCTTGAGGAACAAGGGTGTTTAACAAGGTCCCCCTGATTTCATCTGCCGTAGAAATATGGATGGTGCCGTCATGAAGACACATCCATGAGAGCAGCTGCCTCCTGTCCCTGTTCCTCAACCAGCGTGAGCAGGAGGGAGAAGGGGATTAGTATGCAAATGGGCAAAACTTGCTACTGCTACCAGTAAAGATGAGAGCTGGCTGCAAACTCCTTCTGTAATGCTCCACTTTAAGTAAGAACTAAGGAATTAGGCAATTTCCTTGAGCCTTTGTGCCCCCCCCCCCTCCTTGTTTGGGACCAGCCCTTTTACACAAATCTTGAATCAGGGTTTGCTTATTATTTTCCACTGCTGGGCTCAGGCCCTTGCACTCTGTGGCCACTGACTAATAAACTTACCTGTTCAGAAAGGCAAAGTGCTTTACCTGCAAAGTGGGTCCTTAAGCACATGCCTGACCTTATTTTTTGGATGGTTCTTCTGCACATCCTCTGGCCGGTCCCTGCAATAAATGCACAGCTGCATCTTTAGTCGTGAACGCCAACTCTTGAGGATGCTTAACAAGCCATGAACAGGGGAATATTATTCTCTACATCACTCTTGTTTTCAGTAAACCGGAAACAAACTGCAAAGCAAGACGAGCCCAGTGCTGGTGACATTGCAGGGAAGCAAAACAGCACCTCTGTCTTATTTTTCCTATCCAATAACCTAAAAATAGGGCTGGGGGAGGCTCTGAACCCCCTCCCCTCCTCTGCCCCCCTGGCAGGGTTTGAGCCTGTAGTGCTGGCATCCCTGGAGGATGCTGCGGCCCCAGGGTAGGAGCAGCAGGGAGGCTGCTCCCCATCACCCCGTGAAGCTGAGCTGCCGTGCAGAAAGCGATGCAAGATTTAT